CATATTTGCTGGGGTGGAACTAATGACAGCTAAGCGCTTGACACGCAAGACAGACGGCAAGCGTCTAACAATGAAATATAAGTAAAAATCAAATATTTTGCATTTGCCCACCCACAAATTGTTTGCTTTGACAATTAAAAATTATGTTAAATATTTTGCGTTTTTTAGAAGAATTAAAAAAATGCTGAACGATTGACGAAAGTGGGTCATAAGCGAAGCTAATCGAGATTCGAGATTGAGTGTTGAGTTCATTAATGTATGTATGTATTTGGTGTTAGGCTGTCAATTGAAAGTGAAGAAAGTTTTACCAGTATGAGCAATTTATGCGCAGTGGTGTTGAGAGATTTGCAAAAAATGTTGAGATTTTGTTTACATTTCATTCAATGACCAATGACATACTTACTTAAGTGATTGATTGGGGTTTCAATGGGGATTTTGTGGATTTCATTTTGAGATTTGCGTGTTTTAAGTGTATAGTATTTGTATAGCTCTCATATTAAATATAAAAAAAAAAAAACTGCAATAGTTTTACACTTGGCATTTTTGGCAGCTCGGGTAGATGAACAAATCCGCATACTGCTTAATATTTTGCAAGCACCATAACAACATCTAAACTATATGGTTTATTTTAATTATAGGAGCTGACTAAATTTTTTACCAAATTGCGGCTGGAGCGACCAATCTCAGCTATAAAAATATGTAATTATTTAAACTATTGCCATTCCACAGTCAATAGTTGAACTTTTGATTCATTGCTCTTTTGATATGTAAAAAGTTAACTGCAGTTAATCCGGATTAAGTCCGAGTTAATCCGGATTAACTCTGCCGTCTGTTTGAGCTTTTAGACGGTTTAAAATTTTTATCAGGTAATTCAAATTATATTGGAGCCAGAATGCCAATGTGGTCTATAAAATTGTACTCAAACTTTGAATGAGATTCATTAACATTCCGCAACGGTAAATTAAGAAAATATCACTATTTGCTCTCTGCAATAAAATGAATTACAAGTAATTCAAAAAATTTATAGTCTACATTTTTCTATTGGCATTTGTTTGTACAAACGTTCTTTTGTTTACAAGCAGCTTGCTGAAGTCAATGTTGTTGTCAAACATTAAAAAACAGGCTGTCCTAAGCGATTTGCACGTTGCCAGTACTCGATGTGATTTGAATTTGTAATTATTTGGTCTTAGAGTCAACTCTATACCGTTGAAATTTGAAGGCGCCCATAAAATTTTGTGAATGCAATCGATTACAAATGCGTTTGAAATTATTTTAAATTTAAATTTAATTTAAATCCTTTAAGTGGCATTTTGATTAGCTCAACAAGGGCATAAACGAATGAGTTACAAATAAAATAAATAATAATAAAACACTTAATTCTCGTCAAACATTAGCATGTCTCACTATGCAGTAGAATTTTAATTTAATTTGTGTGCGATTCACAATATATTTTTGTATATTTGCATACGTGATAGCCAATTGTATATGTATGTGTGTGTTTTTTAAGCTTACATATAATAACGGAAAGAGCTTACTACAAAGGTAGATACCTATATCGCCTTTAATATGATTACTTTTGGATTTTTAATTTAAATAGTTTAAACTAACTAAATTAGAAAAATAACTAAACAAATTTGTAAACAATAGCCGAGCAAACAAAGTTTATACTCACTACGGTCTTTAGCTTTCGGCTACATATGTCTGTAGCCATAGTTGCCCGCTGAACTTTTTTTCGGGACGAAACTTCATCAAAAAAGGGAGCTGAATGGAAAAAATTTTAACAATTTTTATCGCATTTTATTGGCATACAAGCAATGCTAGCAATATTTTACTTAATAAAACATGTTCATAAAAGCAACATTGGTTTCTAAACAATAACAAAAATTGCTTCAATAAAAATTGCGCGTTAAACAAAATTAACATACAATTTATCGCATACCACAACTGAGTGAAAGATCGACCTATCTCGGCAGCCAGTTTGAAAACGCCTTATCTCTGAAAACTTTTCAAGAACGTCCTACTTCAAAATCTGACTGAAGAATGCCCTATTTCAGAATTTTATTGAAAACCACTCCGGTATTTTATTTTCACCGGAATTATAGTTTAAGACTTTCAGCTAAATATTTCTGAAAATATTAAGATTTACGTGGGTTGGATTTAAAAAAGCAACCATAATATCATTTTGAGCCTAAACTCTTTTATCATCTGATGAGATATTTTGGGAAAAAATTAAAGTAATTTTATTTATAAAAAAGTCGATTTTTGGAGATATTCTAACATCGGCACTGGTTATTTATATCTTAATACTTTAACCAAATTTTTTTGCGGAAGTCGTAAAATATAATAGATTTTATAATTCCGTGGGAAAAACAGTAACTTATTTTGGCGATTCACTCGAATGTATATATGCAGATATGAATGTAATGAAAAGGAATGAAATTTGTCCATCTAGCTTGTTCCAGACAACACACTGTGCGGCGTTATGGTCTTAGTAAGATGCATTCAACAACTTTTAAAGAGTTAATGATGGATTAAAGCATGGCTGATGACTGGAATTTGAGGGGGCTCTATCTAATCCACAGGAAATACTACTTTGGGATCAGCCCCTTAAGCGTTGCATACAAGAAATCCACCTTAGGCTAGATATTCACAATAAGCTTAATATTGAAAAAGACTAGCGAGAATAGGATCGACACACATCATTTATTTGTCGACTCGAAAGCCGCTTTCAACAGCAGGAAAAATGTTGTCTCTATGCCAGGAAGTCTGAATTTGGTTTCCCAAAACCATTCCAGTTGAGATATTCACTACGCTCTTTTATGTGATTACTTTAATCTGATGTTGGAGAAGATAATAAGAGCTGCAGAACCGAACCGATAAAGTATAATTTTTTTCAAAAGCGTACGATTACTGGCGTATTTTGTTGAGCTCGTCCAGAACAGTGCCAATCAAGGAAACGACGGAGTGTTGGAGGAAAGCCTAATATTTTTAATTAGGTACCGCTACTTTACATACGATAGTTACTAGATCGATAAATATCGATAACCGCATGATATCGTTTTATCCCTAAATAGGAGAGCCATTGTTATCCGCCAAAAAAAGAAGACAAACCCATAAAGAATTGGGTCCTTAGCATGTCCACTGCTTGTTAAAAAATATTAAATTTTTATCTATACAAGCGTACGTATGTATATGTACATATGTATGCATACGAGTATTAATCCGCACGTAATTGCATACGATTGTTGTCTCTTTTTTTTTGTCATTCGGACCAATAAAAAACATCAAATCGTCACAATACGAACATGTAACTGTCATAAAACTGTAACTATAATTCAATATCGATGCTGTCAGGACAATTACCGAAATGTTACTTAATGTAAAAGTGTCTGTAACAAAAGAACAATAGGCACGCAATGAGGTAATCACTCAATGCCATGCAGGGGATGGGATGCTGCAGTAAAACAGTAAACGCCTCAGCAAATGCAGCTCAGCATGTGGCAGGCGGCATGCTGCAAATGTTGCAACACTAATACAGTAGCGCCAGCAGATATTCGTCGGTGCATAGGGAGTTGCAGCACGTCCACAGGCAATTGTGCATTGCAGCCAGAGGTGGAAAGGTTATGCAACATAAATATATGTATATAGTGATAATGACGGTCGACAAGGGCTGCTGTAGTGTACATACATACATACATACATACATAGAGGAACCGATTCGTACTTGCGGGACGAACAATTTGCCTGTAGGTAAATCGGTTTTAGCTGTCCAAAGCAAAAATAAATCAGAAATGCAACTAAAAATTATTGAAGATTTTGAGAAGTGAACCTTGTAATTATGCAGCTCGTAAATTTGGTGGCAATCGAAGCATTCAACCGAGCAACCACCATTGGCGCGGTCACCGGTGTCCCATTGGAGGACGATCGACGGTGATTAAAAGCCAGCAAAAATTTGAATTTGAAAAAATATGGTAAAGAGGAGGATTGTAGCGATGTGATTGCCCTATTCGGCTGGACAGACAGACAAATGGCTAAGCAGTTAGACAAATAATGGTGTGTAGCTGGGCGGTCAAACAGCTGTGCCATTAATTTTTGTCGTTGTCCCCTTGTTGTTGTTGTTGTTGTTGTTGTTGTTGTTGTTGTTGGTGCTGTTTTTCACTGTCATTGGCCGGCCTGCGAATTTAACACGCAGCGCTCACTTGCCCGCTTTCCATTCAAACTTTCTTCCATTGTGTATAGGCGCATGCTTACGTTCATATGTATGTATGTATGTATAGATGTACGCATCTGTTCATAAACATAACTACACACAAATCGTCGTTTAAAGTACAAAACCGCGTATCGTCATTCTGCAAAAAAGGCTCAATCCTTATCCATTCGTCCTGAAATATACCAGCCAGAAATGCGATTGCTTTATAAAAGAGAGAACCATTTTGAAACATGAGTGTCTTTAGTCTCTAGAAAATAATTTATGCGGTTTTGCATTTTGTTGATACGCGGTTTTGTACTTTAAATGACGATATGTATGTATGTACTACTGCTCTTCACCACTGCGCATGCGTGTGATCCTACACTCGCGACTACACGACTTTGATTGACGGCTGACATGATCATCACCATGGCCATGACCATCGCAGACAGACAGATAGATAGTCCGCTTATTGTTGGCTCAGACTGTTGATGAGATCGGTGCTTGACGTGTGAAGAGTGCACGCACGCATGCGTGACGTTTACAGGCGTAAAATGATGACAACGATTCCACTACGGAACTCAGAAGAACAGCGCATGCTTGTAGTAGTTCAACCATGTTTTTTGTAGTCATTTATGACGAATGTTCTGCGGACTTACATACATACTTTACACGCTTTCGCACTTAC